CGCAGGAACCTTCCTCACATACATCCCGAGCAAGCACCCAGAGGCGCCGTTCGTAGTCACGAGTCGCGAGGAGGGCGAGCGAGAGGCGCACAAGTCTCCGACGTTCGTGCATACCTTCGAGCGATACCTGGTTGACGTGCAGAAGTATCTGATGGAGCCGCTGTTCTTCGCGAGTGTAGGGTTTGCAATTCCGTTTGTGCAACTTTGGACGGGCATGAGGATTTGGCGTGGAATGTTGTTTACTCTGCTGATGGTCTTTGCAAAGGTTAGCTTTCCACTCATCGATTATAAGCTGACTGCACACCCTCTAACGATGATTTTAAGTTCATTGTTGGGATATGGGTCCCCATTTGGCAAGCCCTTTTTAACTCAAAGGGCCGGAAGCAACTGTCGCGCGGCCAAAAGAAAACTCAACGTAAACAACCACAGGACGAGGAATCGCATACCCACAAGGCTACCACAAATTCCAGGGACAACGATGTGTCCCAGACAGGGTCCTCCGAGAAGCAGCCTCCCTCAGAGCTCAAATTGTCTCACAAATCTACCCGCACAGTCTGGCTCTCCGGCCTCCTGCTCGGCTCTGCGATGGTCGCGCGCGGGGAAATCGGCCTCTTGATTATCGAGATCGGATACAATGAGACCTCATACATCACGGAGGACGGGTTCATCACAGGTGTATGGGCGATTCTGCTTAATACGATCATCGGGCCTGTTAGCGTAGGGTTGCTCGTCAAGGCATACGGAAAGCGGATCGGGGAAGGTGAATGGGGGTTGCAGAAGGCTGAGGGTGGGAGGGGTGCCGACAACAATGGTCACCACCCTCCGGGTGGTGAATCTGCTGCTTGACAGCAATAGTGGCGAGTTGAAGCAGGTACGATCGAGGAGTTGTGACCATGTGCAGTGATGCAAATCAGAGATCGAAGGTTACTTCCCCAAGGAGTGACCCCGGTACTTGGGACAAAGAACAGGGTCGAGGGTTTGGCAGGAAGGAGGGCAAGACTAGCAATACTTACGAAGCCTCAAGTGGTGGACAGGCCCGAATCAACACATCTTCCCTTGCACAGCCGACTCCTCTTTCGCCGACATCTCCTTAATCATTATCTGCTCAGAAACTTTCTTCCAGTCTTCATAAGAACGATACAAGTACTTCTGAGCGGCTGGGTGGTTTCGATAGTATGTCTCATGATTGATCTCACAGACACCGTCCTCCTTTCCCTTGTGGTCGACGCAGAAAGAGCGATTACATAGAACACATAGCTGGATTGGGCGTGTATCTTTCAGGTGTGGCTTCCTCAACCTCATTTTGTCATGGACGTGGCATGACCCAAAATTGACAATATGGCTCTGGTGGTTTATTAGCCTCAAACCTAAACAAATCTAATGTAACTCAGATCTTACCATTATATAATTTCTGATGGAGGCTCTGTTTTGTCTTCGGATAGTGAGCACTGGTGGATCGAGGGATGGTTTTCCACTGGGGAGAGCGGGGCAGGTTGAGCAAATATTAGTTTAAAAGTTGTGGAGTTACTAGTCTCAAGGCTGCGGCAAGGTGCGGCCAAGCTCTTACGTGATGTGAAATACCACTCAGTGGTATGAAGATTACTAGGTAGTTTGTTAGTTAACTAAGTAAGTTAACTAGTTAGTTAACTTAAATGATCGACCGGGCGCTGACTAAAGCTAAGTTCGGCGTTGAAGCAGAATACTAGAGGTCGCTAAGGGTCGACACACCCCCAGCGTCAGCGGGGACATGTACAGTCCTGATAGGTTGAAATATTAGCTGTGTAGGAGGATACCTGTTTAGTCAATGATGAGGCTTTTTACATCAATTAAACCAAGCATCTTCATGAATTCTTGGTGTTTTTGGTCCGGCAGAACCTTCGTAAAGGCCATCCGCGGGCATCTCCGCACTGGGAACCCATCGAATATTGACGTGCTTTGTCTGAACTTCATGACGAAGCCATTGGCCGTAGATATCAACATGTCGAAGCTTCGTACGGATTTGAGGATCCTCCTTGGTAAGCAGGTTGATCGTCTGCCGGTTGTCACATATAATTGAGATCTGGTGCTCTGGATCGAATTCAATAGCTTCAAATAAGCATTTCCACCAGAACGTTGTCTTTGCGGCTTCAGAGATAGCCAATAGTTCTGTTTCAGTCGTAGAAATTGTCACCGTACGTTGCTTGCTCGCCAGTCAATTGGTCCTCCGTATCGCTTGCAAAGATATCCTTCAGTGATTTTCCGATCCCCTTGGTCCATAAATGACGCGTCACTCGCACATATAAAGGTCTCATTCTGATTGGTCAAGCCAGAGTACTCGATGGCTAGATATCGCGTGGCATAGAGGTACGCAATTACTCGATCTGCGGCCTTTAGATGCTTCTCAGAGGGATTCATGAGAAATTCAGCGAGTTTATTTGCTGTACGAGCAGCATCTGGTCCTGAAATAATAGCTACGTATAGAAGGATAGTGGCTGCACACTCACCGGGCATCCCGTATATTGATTTTACCGCGGAGGCGTCAAAGCTGCCTTCTTTAAAAAACTTGTGGCCCGCAGTGTTTCGAGGCCACCGTCGAGGAGAGATGCAAGCCAATCTCCACGCAAGTGGGGGTGGAAGCTCAGCAAAGATGAAAAGGTAATGAGATCAAGGGTAACACACGTGAGATCTCTATCAGAGGCTCCGAATCTGTCGGAACGCAAACGCCTTCGCTACATAGCTGGAGTCCAGAGAGCCGTTCAAGGCACCAGTTGACTACTACCATGCTGTCATGGCTCATGGTTCGCGGCTCGCGGTCTGGCACGGGCCAGAAGCTGCTGTTTGCAGGATTCAGACATCGGTCCCACAGACATACACTTTAGAAAGCGAGCCCGGGCTCGATCCCTAGTTGTTTTATAGTATTATACGACGGCGACTAGCTTCTCAACTGATAAAAGGTGCGGGCGTGGGCGACGAAAAGATAGAAAAGCAGTCCCATCCTTCCCAAGGCACAGAAGTAGGGGATAACCAGTTTTGGGGATGAAGTTGGAGCAAAAGGGGCTCTGATATGTATGTAATGGAAGACTGGGCGTAACTCGTGGTATGTTCCCGACAATTTGAGGAGTACCGGGGCCAAAGCGCCAGGAAATGGGAGCACGGATATCCTCTCCAGCTGCCTCTACGATTGACAAACTGCATCAAAGTTTTTTAAAGTTTACGCATTTCGTAGGTAGAACAAGCAAAAGGCAAACATCCTATATCCGATTGGTGCGCGGAAGGCGGGTATCATTCCCGGTCAAGAATAACTACGTTTCTCGTGGGACCACAACATATGCTCGAGTAGACGGCGATGACTTGTGCTGACTCTTGGTATTATGGTGGCATAAGTTCCGCACATGACCGCGAGGAAGGCGATAGGCGTCTTAGCGTAACCGATATTCCGACCCCCACACATTTGCCGAAAGAGCACGAAACAGTCTGTGCTGGTGCGTGCCCCTGTGAACCATGCTACGGTGATCTGGGGCTGCAGATCCCATTAGAGTCACAAACAAGGCAGGAGACAATCTTGGGCGATTTATGTTTCGCCAGGTCTAGGTCAGTCTACAACTTGTCGTTCCGAAGCAGGTTGACCTCTGCAGTGTGATATCTTTGTACCATACCAAAGTTTATAAATAGCATTCTGGTCGTAGCTCATCTGTACCTATGAACCCCACTCATATGCATTTTCCCAGGTATTAGGCAAACCAGGAATCTCGGTAGAGCACCAAATATTCTTTGGCACTCTTTCCAGTTTGACGCATGAAAGCTCCAGCTATAACGATTGCCAGTTAAAGCCTTTCGAGCAGGCTCGCAAGGTTCGTGATGTCTATGGAGGTTAATCTTGATGTCCAAAATCGATAATGTTCAATTCCCAGCCGCGTAATGTCTTCAGCTGAGAAGCCGATGCTTTGTAATAATAGCTTAATAGCATCTTTATGAATGAGCTTCTGGATTGGGAATGACTTCCCTAATTCAATGAGCTCCTGCAGCCGGGTCGTAATCACGATACATCCGTGATCGGCTTTTGGAAAGAATTCGTAGATATCGTATCCGCAATCGCCGTGGCCCTGAGTGGGGAATATTGGTCGAGATTGTCAAAGATAATATGCCATCTGGTATTGCCTGGACTCGCTAGCCACTGTAATACTCTATTTGGCTACAAGTTCATCCGCCTCGTAGTCGCCTGAGAAAGTGGGCCTTCACTGCGGATGTGCGGTACCGCAGTGGCCCACTTTCTGGATACGACGAGCCGATAAAAGCCCATGTATGACTGCAGAAAACTGCTGCGTGCTCGATGGCACAAGCCCAATTCTCGCCGTGGTGCCTAGAAACAAGCGCGATCATCACTTGCTCTTGTTTGTCCAACTCAGAAGTATCTATTGCATACACGAGGAACAATCCAAGTCTCTGCAGAATGAACTCATGGATGGTCCCATACTTCAAACCATCCAGACCCTCTCGAAGTTTGGGTCCATACGGTCTTTTGACCTCATATGAATATCATTCTGTTAGTAGGCATCGCCTTTACTTGAAGTGCATCCCCCATGCTCTCTCGTGCCTCTTGTCTTTTGCTAGTCACAGCTCACAGCTAACAGCCTACTCTTCTTCGGAAGACGCCGTCTAGCCGTCAATATATAAAAAGCATATTCCCTCCGTCGTCAATATTTCGAGCGCCAACAAAGGAATAGCGGTGCAGTATATTATGGATCACCGGTTCATAATTAAGGTGACTATTATTTTCCTAGCCCTAACTTCCACTCCTTTTCCTGTCCAAGGCGCTTCACTTCATGCTCCAACTCGTAGATTGTCCTCTGTAGGATGTTGTCACCTGATGCTCCCTGAGCTCCCTGGATGAGCGTGTCAATCATTCAAAACTTGGTGGAGCAAGACGGCAGGATACAACTTGCAGTTCAAGCCTATAAAATATTAAATACGCAGCTCATCGCGCAGCAGAGGCTTTTGATGTGCCTTAACCCCCCGGCGCTCTATCTCCAAGTATCATAAGTTCCCACGGTTCTAATATGGCATCCCATCGGGGCGGTCAAGCGCATATTGGGATCCTTTGCCCATGTGACCCCGCCATTCTGCTTTCGAATGTACTTGTATTCGAAATTCACGCCTGCTAGTAGATCCACGGATATGTACCACAGATTATTGTTATCAGTGTACTGATCCGCATTGAGAGCAACTGCGCGGTTTGTGTCCCAGTTTCCGAGCTGGTCAATTGAACCGACCAGGAAGATATCTTGACCCTGGGTGGTTGTAGCAATTATGTTGAATGTGACCTTAACTGTAGATGGAGTTGCACAGGCTGCTGTTGTTGTTGTTGTTGTCGCCGTTGTTGATGTTGAAGTTGATGTCATAGTTACGAACCGATCGTCTGTTCCTTGGCAGCGGCAACTACGGAGGCCTATCGGGACAAATCTGCAAAAACGAAATGTCATAGCGTCGAAGCGCGTATTGGACGGACCTCCCACATGTAATATAACAAGAGCCTCTACTATCCCATTATTAAAGCCAGCTGTTGTCATTATATGCTATGAAGCTATCGTCGATGTGGTAGTTTGGGAAGCTCCGATTCGGTTTAGACGCAGCGGGGGGTAACTGCCAGTCGTGAAACGGCTGCTGGACGGGTTGATGGGCGGCCAGTCCAGACAGATCGATATATTGCTGATCGAGCTGGTGGATCCCGATCTGACTCTGGTTGGGCGTCATGTGACCAGGCATAAGATATGAATTCGGGTGTGCTGGTTGTGTGAGGCGTGCTAGTATCGTGTCTATGTCGTCGCAGGGGAGGGCGTCCCAGACGATAGGTTCGCCGTTGAGGTACGTAGGTGAGGGTGTCGATGGAGGGACCGTGAGGGATAAACTCGTGCTGTATGCGGATAGATCGAGAGCTAGGGCTTCTCGGCGCTGCTGTTGTTCCAATGCAATGTCCCGCTCTTCGTGTTGGAGACGGTGTTGTTCTAAGGATCCTTTACGGGCGTACCTGGTGAAACCATACAGATTAGCGAGTATTTTCAAGAAAGGGAGACATATGAGAGTGCGTACTTCTGTTGGCAGTGCGGCATACCACAAACGAATGGCCTGTCGTTCCTGTGTGACCGTTGGTGTCGGGAATAGCTTGATGGCTATGGGTGCGGCGGATTAGCCGGATACTTGAGGGACGGTATGTTTTAGAATTGATTGCATAGGGAGATGCTTCACTAACGTCGCTAAATGTTCTCTGGCAAGTGTTGAATTCGCAAAGATATGGTCTCTCGCCCGTGTGAATCCGCTGATGTATATTCAGCGATGAACGCTGATGGAACCTCTTCGAACATCCTGGCTCAGAACAGGCGTAAGGCCGCTTATCGACGTGGATTTGGAAATGCCGAGCGAGATCAGCTTTTCGCACAAAATCCTAAGTATTCATGTTAGCCTTGAGTCGTTGATTAACAATGATTTTCAACGGCGACCTTGTTGCACGAGGGCCACGAACACTGAAAGACCCGCATGCCAAAACTGGTGATAAAAAAATAAGCCTGGAGCCTGGAGCAGTGTGCGACGGATGTTACAGGCCTGGCCTGGACTGGAACCAGGGAGGAAATTTATAGGCGCAGCCTCAAACTCATCGCTCGGCCGAACACAGCAGTTAGAAGACACATGTTGGGAAAGTCTCACCCGTCGGGACCGTCCCTACGCTATGACCCTGGGTTAAGGTTGCCTGTCAAAAGTACCCGCTTCCCACTAATCCACGACCCACCCCTTCGGCATTTGGCGGCTTCCGAAGATCCTGGAGAACGCCTGAATCGGGGGATCTGCCGCTCGCAGCAAATTAGGGGTCAAAACGGGACGATGAGCGAGAGAACGAGGCGAATGCCGAGGGAGGGGCTTATTACGAATAACTACAGACTCGAACCTCGACTCGAGTAATGTCAGCTGGATCATGCAACGATAGAGAGTTCGCGATTGTTACTGTATCTACATCGTTCTTCCATTCTGGCTAGACGACGGTGTGCATACAGTCTCAGTCGCCTTTGCAGCAGCAGCGTGGGCTACAGGCATATCTATTAATGTATTTGAGTGCGAGCCTCATATTCCCATTTTTCGTGCAGCCGTCGCTTACTGATCTGTTCTCGAGCTGCGACCCTGAACGAATAGGGCGCTGCCCAGCTATCCGTGGGCATCTCCCCGCGAGTCTGATCGTCGTCTTGAAAATCAACCCTCGCCGATCATTGGCATAATAGTCTTTGCCCGCATCTGGGATCCCTCTCAATCAATGCCTTCTGTACTCGTGCACTGGAACGATGCACAGGCCTAGTAGCGCTTTTCGTACTTTTCCTTCTCGAAAGATGCGGCCGATCTGAGATCATATTAGTAAGATTCAGTATGCTTGCACTCCCGTCGACCTAAATGCCGGAATCGCCTTGGGCCCCCACAGCTTTACTTATTGTGCTTCCGCCGCACGCAGCGTTGCAATAGCTTGCTTACCCTAGCCCCGTGGTAAGCCCTGTCATCGAACAAGGTTATTCTGTCAATTTCGAGGCTCTTTGGGGCGAGTTTCGAGCGATGTAGAGGCCTAACTTGCACTGATTGGCGGAGGGAAAGCGATTGGCCTTCCTGTTGCCGCCGAGCCAAGGCGGGTATGCGGGGACGCTCAGGCACTCTCACATCCGGGTGATTCGTCCCGGGGGGGAAACGGCGATCCATACTTGTGGAACTTGAGTCCGTGTGTGTTTTGTTTTTTATCACGGGGACGCGACCCACCAGCTACTGATCCCACTTCATCTCCTCCTTTTGAACTTTTGAGAAATAGCAGCCTATGTTTGAACGATAGAGGATTGTATTTATTCTTCACTTAAATTCCCAGGGAGGCAATAAAAAGATGGACAGACAGCAACCACCAAGGGCGATTGCCCCTAAACCAGGAGATAGCATTTTTCGAACAGATATTAGTTTCCACCGTCGGCTGCAGAAGGCATCCAGTGCTTGTCTAGAATGCCGGAAACGAAAACAAAGAGTAGGACTTCTTACTTATCCCGTGGAGACTCTTCTAATTACTATATAGTGTGATGGAGCCAGTCCATGCTATTTTTGCCGTCGCAGCGGGCAAGATTGTGTGATTGACGAAGAGGGGGATAGCCGTCGCAAAATCGCACTAAAGCGCAAGATCGATTCTCTAGAACAGGATAACGAAATGCTCCTTGGACTTATTCAGACAATACGCGAGGCTGATGAAGAGAGAGCACTTAAATATTTCCGCTTGATTCGGACCAACTTGGCAGTTGAAGACATTTGTCAGCACCTCAAGGCAAATATTATTGCCAAACCCCTCGAGGGGGAGGCGTCGACTTGCATGGAGTAGTCCATGCAGAATGCCAGACCGCTGGAAGCAATAGTTATATTGGCAAAACGATGGATTCTATTCGAGCCCCAGCACGATCCATGGATTATGCAGATAGCCACGAGAATAAAGCTTGGCAAGCATATGCAGCAGCAACTAGAGCAGCGGCCACCAAGTCTTTCTTGGAATATTAGGAGCCCACTAATCAAGAAGGTTAGCACGCAACTCCACGGCTAGTGCCTGTATGTTAACATTAAGGAGTCAAAAAATTTTATATTTCGCTACTCATGCCGCCTACTACTGTCGAGTCAGTATCGACGTCCCCACATGCATCTGCGAAACGCAGACGGGCCACCATCCTCTCATCAGATGAGGCATCCGCGCATTCACCATGTGGTACCTTACTACTTTTCCTCTCCAAGACGCTTCACTTCTTGCTCCAACTCATAGATTCTAGGATGTCTTTCATTTTCCCGATCTCCTAGCAAAGAAGTCTTCATATTGGGCAAGCTCAACTCTTGGGCTCTCAGAGCAGGCAGTAGGCTCCTCTGCTGTGAGAGAATCTAGATCATTCCCGACAGGGCTTGAGGGCATAATTAAAGAAGGTGAACTGTTTTTAGTTGCCTGGTCTCCTGGTGCCACAGTTCGAGCCAGTGAAGCGGCAAGACGACACTGGTCTGAACAGAACAAGGAGCCGGGTGTTTCGTTGCCACAGGACGCACACTTCTCAAATAAAGTCGACATCTGGGACGGGGACGGGAATAAGATGAATTATGAAGGATTGGTGTCTCAATCTCTGTGCTCATTGGGCCGAGATGACTTCGGTAGGCTTCTGCCAGAATCTACCGCCTATGGGTTCGAACAATTAGGAGTTGCACGCATTGATAAATCTAAAGGTAAGCCACACCTGGCTATACCAATTGCCCATCGCCGCATGAGGAAGACGATTGGTATCTGTTTCTAACCAACTATGTCTCGCCCATGAGATACGCTCACCTGGCAGAGCAAGCAACAGCCGGCATTAGAATACTTCGTTCCAGTCGCATCGATTTCCGAGGAAATTGCCGCGTCATCTAGGCGGTCAGGCAGTGATCGAGTCAACATCTTTCTCACGTGAGCCAACCACGTGCACTCACCCTTTTTCGACTCCCTTCCCTCGACTTGGGCCAATTTGGTCCGAGTCATCGTTGTTATCCATTAAATCTGCTCTCCAACGTCGTCGCTATCGTCGCTGGTCGGCTGATAGCTGTTTATGATCCCCCAACCTTCTCAAACGTAATNTATTAGTTTCCACCGTCGGCTGCAGAAGGCATCCAGTGCTTGTCTAGAATGCCGGAAACGAAAACAAAGAGTAGGACTTCTTACTTATCCCGTGGAGACTCTTCTAATTACTATATAGTGTGATGGAGCCAGTCCATGCTATTTTTGCCGTCGCAGCGGGCAAGATTGTGTGATTGACGAAGAGGGGGATAGCCGTCGCAAAATCGCACTAAAGCGCAAGATCGATTCTCTAGAACAGGATAACGAAATGCTCCTTGGACTTATTCAGACAATACGCGAGGCTGATGAAGAGAGAGCACTTAAATATTTCCGCTTGATTCGGACCAACTTGGCAGTTGAAGACATTTGTCAGCACCTCAAGGCAAATATTATTGCCAAACCCCTCGAGGGGGAGGCGTCGACTTGCATGGAGTAGTCCATGCAGAATGCCAGACCGCTGGAAGCAATAGTTATATTGGCAAAACGATGGATTCTATTCGAGCCCCAGCACGATCCATGGATTATGCAGATAGCCACGAGAATAAAGCTTGGCAAGCATATGCAGCAGCAACTAGAGCAGCGGCCACCAAGTCTTTCTTGGAATATTAGGAGCCCACTAATCAAGAAGGTTAGCACGCAACTCCACGGCTAGTGCCTGTATGTTAACATTAAGGAGTCAAAAAATTTTATATTTCGCTACTCATGCCGCCTACTACTGTCGAGTCAGTATCGACGTCCCCACATGCATCTGCGAAACGCAGACGGGCCACCATCCTCTCATCAGATGAGGCATCCGCGCATTCACCATGTGGTACCTTACTACTTTTCCTCTCCAAGACGCTTCACTTCTTGCTCCAACTCATAGATTCTAGGATGTCTTTCATTTTCCCGATCTCCTAGCAAAGAAGTCTTCATATTGGGCAAGCTCAACTCTTGGGCTCTCAGAGCAGGCAGTAGGCTCCTCTGCTGTGAGAGAATCTAGATCATTCCCGACAGGGCTTGAGGGCATAATTAAAGAAGGTGAACTGTTTTTAGTTGCCTGGTCTCCTGGTGCCACAGTTCGAGCCAGTGAAGCGGCAAGACGACACTGGTCTGAACAGAACAAGGAGCCGGGTGTTTCGTTGCCACAGGACGCACACTTCTCAAATAAAGTCGACATCTGGGACGGGGACGGGAATAAGATGAATTATGAAGGATTGGTGTCTCAATCTCTGTGCTCATTGGGCCGAGATGACTTCGGTAGGCTTCTGCCAGAATCTACCGCCTATGGGTTCGAACAATTAGGAGTTGCACGCATTGATAAATCTAAAGGTAAGCCACACCTGGCTATACCAATTGCCCATCGCCGCATGAGGAAGACGATTGGTATCTGTTTCTAACCAACTATGTCTCGCCCATGAGATACGCTCACCTGGCAGAGCAAGCAACAGCCGGCATTAGAATACTTCGTTCCAGTCGCATCGATTTCCGAGGAAATTGCCGCGTCATCTAGGCGGTCAGGCAGTGATCGAGTCAACATCTTTCTCACGTGAGCCAACCACGTGCACTCACCCTTTTTCGACTCCCTTCCCTCGACTTGGGCCAATTTGGTCCGAGTCATCGTTGTTATCCATTAAATCTGCTCTCCAACGTCGTCGCTATCGTCGCTGGTCGGCTGATAGCTGTTTATGATCCCCCAACCTTCTCAAACGTAATCATCCGCTTGACCCAGAGACAGACGGCGCCACCTCTAGATTCTCTTACCTCTGTCCGTGCTCTCCAAGACGCTGCGAGAAAGCATTCACATCAGGCGCCAGAGATATCGCTCCCGGAACGCCCTCGAAATGCTCAGAATGAGTCTCCCTACTTCGACGCTGCGATCGGTGTGGTGGGCGTCTATACCGCCAACTTGTTTAGCGAGCATGGTTTTTGGTCCGTCGAAATAGAGGCAATGAGGCAGGATATAAAAACAGTGGATGGGAAGATTGAAAAGGTGGACCACAAAGTGGAAAGATTCGAGCACGGAGCTAAGGAGGCTCTGACTGATTTATCTGACCGTTTGGACGATGTCGAAGAGGACCTGAAAGAGCTTACAAAAGAGGTCAAGAACGTTCAGAGCCAGGTCGAATCCGTTCAACGTGGGATCGAGAATGGTTCTGCGAGACAAATCAATGCTCTGGCAACCGCTTGAGGGCTTCCATCGAACCTATCTACGCCCCAACTCTGGTCGCTGGCAAATCTACCTTCGCCCTCTCTCCAGACTTCCGGAGAACCATTGCCGACTGCTGGCGATTATTAAATGATGGTACGTTGCATCTTTCTCTCCATGACCCGGTCGATGAACCAAGAATGCTAATCACCGCCTTAGCCCATGCTCTAGTACGCCTCGCAGCGCGGTTCGTCCGATGATACCGAACGCACCAACTATCTGAACATTGAAGACGCGATTGCTGCCCATCCTTACCAATGCTGGAAGATTTTAGTCACCAAATGGGCCTTGCAGCATATCGATCTCGAACAACCAAAAAAAACGCCCGGCTGAGACTGACGATGAGTTAGAGAGGAGGCAAGTGAGGTTACAAAGGACATCTGGTTCAGATATTTGCGAGTCCGTGATTTTTCGGAACGCGGGCCAAATTATCTGTCACGACCAGATCACTCGCCGCAGAGCCCCGCGACCCGTGAGAATAACTCGATTGAAACACGAGTGTACGATAAGTTTGCTGGTGCTCCTGGCAGGACATCCTTTGAGTCTGCTGTGCTCGGCTGGGACGCAAACATGGCCTCCGCCTCCGATTCATCACCGCGGAGTGGAAAGTCCCAACCCAGCTAATTTGCGTGTGAGCTAGCGATCACCATTCCTGATGTTGCTGTGCAGCCATCGCCTTGCTGGATTCCAGGGTCGACTTTCTTTTCTCTTTGCTGGACATATTTTAAATCTAGATCTTTGCAGCTGATTCGGCTTTTGGGCCGACTGATAATAAAGAATGTCACCTCACTTGCACCTTTTACCGGGCAACCAGAAAGTCCCATATGCTAATGCCTTCCAGGTAATCAGCACTCCCAATGTAGAACCTGCGTGGAAAGGTGCCGTTCAGTCCACCCGCCACCGTCGTTCCCAACTGATTTTCTCCCTTCCCCGATCCATATCGTTTATCATGCCGAGGCTTTAACGTTCAGGGCAGCGATGCCGAATATATCCGATATCTCGAGGGCCAGGTCCTCGAGACACAGCGCCTTTCGGGGTCCTTTGCTCCGCCCTATTCGGACCAAGGACCAGTGCCTCAGTCGACCGACGCGGCTCCCATTCACTTCATCATCTGGCAGCCACCAGGTGAGACACCACACCACCACCAGAAGCGCTCCCAGCTACCGCGCTGGAGAAAGGAGCTGGATTCGTTTATACTCTCCCTTCGGCGCCGGGACAGTAGCCAACGACACAGTTGATACCATGATGGAACGATATCTCGGGCGGAGTTATGACGCGAAGACCCTGGACTACTATCGGTACGGCTCGTTGTGGGCGAACCGATGCATGGCTTCCCTTCTCCGCCAGGGATGGGGCTCGCGGAGCTGGGAGGTCTTTCTTCTCCGTAGGATGGCGTGAACCCCCAAAGGAGTTTGGACACCGCTTGCTAACCTCGATGATTCCTGAGGTAGAAACGCGGAGGCCGGCTCAATTCGGAAGAATTGAAATCAGTGCGTCAGAGAGCTATGAGGAGGTTGCGGAGCGGCTTGGTCCGCCCCGAACCCGGTTAACGACAACGGATGGATTCCATACTGTCTGCCGTGTATCATCCAAGAGATCATGGGCGGTAGTAACAAGTAGGGACCCTCGCCGCTCGAAAAATCGTTCTAACGAGCCGTAGGCTATCAGTCATTTGCGGGTGCCTGGGGTACGATTGGAGGATGGTGTCACCCGCCATGATGCGTTTGTGCAAAGCGTGAAGAAAAGGGATGGGTTGGCAAGATAACGTCTATCGGGTCGCCTGGCCACATGCTCTCGACACTCCGATACAATCCGCTTGCTAACTACCAGATATATATATATCGGCTTATTGGCCTAATAGCCAGAAGTACCCAGCGTTTCGGACGACCAATTCTAATTTTAATCTAACACTAAGTAGAGCATGCTAAAGTAGAGCTCATCTTCTCTAAGCTAATGACAGACAGTTTTGGTGGCTGTTTCGTAGAAACTACAGGCTTTTTAATTCCTTGGTCGCTGCGTTTAGAATCCAATTGGACCAACACTACTAGATGTTAGAAGTAGTGTAGGGGGAGGGGATGGGCAAGTTACACTCGTCTTTCAATGAAGGCAGGTGAGCCTTCGTGTAATGCTTTCGAAGTTCACGGTTATCAGAGAATGCTTTGAGGCAGCGCTTCAATGGGCAGGCAATTTGGAGTCTTTTCGTCATCGCTGGAGGGCGAGAGACTGTGTTATTTTTGGAGACTCTGGGAAGTGGCCTTTTCGGCCGCGCATCGTGCGCATCAGGCCTCTCCAATCTGCGTCGAAAGCTCACATCCTGGAGACATCCTGGAGTTTTAAAGGGTCCACTATTTAACTCCGCTGGCGAGAGTGGAAGAACTGGTGCGTTCGACGAAGGCGCGAGATGGAGGCCGGGCGGGCTATTTGATAGTCCAGATTGATGACAGGGGTCGAGTAGCGTCTCGATTTTCATACGGTTTATGATGGAAGACATTATTGTCTTGGGAGCGCACTGCTGAAGCAAGAGAAAGCTTGAGTTGGAAGAAACAGAGCACAAAAGGTGCGATGGGAAGAGTGGATGCCAGGAGCGAGCCACTGTGGCTGACGAGTCTTGGCCCATGCCTCTACGGAGTATTATTTTCGCGATCCTCCGAAGACTTCGCCGGACTTCTTCATCGACTCCCCTCAAGCCCACCGCAAAAATAGGAACTCGTAAAAAGAAAAGTACAAATAAACAGAAAGCGTATAAGCAGTGTCCAAGCTAGTTGAAAATAAAATGTTCCACCGAATGCCCGCTTAGATTGTAGGGCTTGTTGGCACTCCTTGAGATAAAACAGAGCCTTGCCCGTACCGCTTGATGTATTCCGGTCCAGGATGGCACGAAGGCTTATTATCAGCTGTAAGCGAGGTATTGCTCCGGGCAGATGATTCTCGTTTTTCAAGATGTCCAACATTCATCCAAGCAAAATCTTGCGATACTTGCTGAACGCTATCATCAATTAACATGGCCAACCAAGTACCGTGATCGCCACCCTAGAGCGTTATTGCTCCCATGGATGGTTCTCTTGTCGGTGGAAACCATAAACAGCACGGCGTCGCCCGTGGAATGATTATTAAAGGTGCTAAAATCTCGTTTCCCATATTCCTTGAGGCCGAGAGTTTGGTCGTGTGATCCAGGCACGTGGTAAGTTTCTTCCTGTTTTGACTTTGATCAAATCAATAGAGTCAAAGGCATGGTCACAGATCTAAAGGCACTTTTTCATGCTTAATAACTGCTCCTTGAGCTCCCGAAGCCCATGTGTGTGCAAGTCAATCTTTGAGCCTATTATTTCCTCAAGTCTTTCAAGAGAGTATCCGAGATCCGATTTAGCAGATTTGATAAGGTCCTTATAGCTCTCGAGGCTTACAACAGTAACGAAGGGCTGGCGGCGGCTAGACCGTTCATGTCAGAATACTAGATTGATATTTATAACACCCAAGGTTNATAGCGAGGCCGATTAAGAAGTCTCGACTGGAGACCCAGCCTGGGTCAACAACGTAGGAACGGAGTAAGGGGATGACAACTGGGCCACCGCCAAATATCACAGTGCCGGCGAGGTACATATTTGCGAAGAGATCAAGGACCAAAGGGGGTAGTGAAACTTTGGCTCTGGAGACAAGTATGGCGATAAAGGACACTGCGGGCTCTGGATTAGCTCACATGCATCATCATTCCAAATCCACAATGGGACATACCAAAGAAGAAAACAACAATCATAATCCCAACACGAATACGAATCACATGGTCCTGTGACTGCCCTTCCCTTCCTTCTGAAGCCTGGGTGTTAGTTTGTTGTTGCGGCAAAGCCCCCGCATCTGGTTTCTTATTCGCAGCATCTCCATTCCCGGCACCCGAGCTGAATTCCTTGCAGCCGTATCCCCCAAGCCCGTGGAATCGGGAGCATTACCTTCCGGCTCGGGCTGCCGATTCCTATTTTTCCACGCACTCTTCGCTCTCAGAATTTGCTGATACACCAACCCATCCCACAGCGCAGTAGCAACACCACCAGCAACCATAAGAACAGGGAAATACCAAAGTGCGCTATAACAGAGGCCAGCACATGCGCCAAAGATTACAAGGATTCGTGAAATTTTATCTCGGATGGCCTTTTCAGCTAGCTGGACAGCAGCAAGAGCAATAATGCCTACGGTTGAGGCATTTAGGCCGGAGAGAAGAGCGTAGACCGGAGCGGGCAGTGTTTCATCGATCCGTTGCACGCCAAGAGAGAGTGCATACATGCCGATTGCGCTGGGGAGACTAGCGGATTAGTAAGTACATCACCTCAAATCACAAGAGCTGCATAAAGGTATACACATACGACCAGAAGAAAAATGCAAGCAAGGCTGGGATAAACCCCGCGTGGAGCAAAGCCAAGCAAAACAACATCTTTGTTGACCCTGGTCATGGGAGACCTTGACATATGGCGAAGAGTTCTTGGTACTACACCGATTAGTCCCACAGTATACTATTCAGATAAAGAGTACCTACCGTCTGTTCATCAACCCACTTTTCCTTCTCGACGAACCGCGCGTGAAAGATCTGGAAATGAACTGGCGGGCCCCCGAACGACGTGAATCCCAGATACCAGGTATGCCGAACGACTTCGCTCA